CCTGCCCGTCGCCATCGCGGCCCGGAGCGGGGGCCGCGCCGCTTCCGCCGGATGTCGCCTTGAGGGCTCCGCACCGGGGAGGCGCGTCCTGCCCGAGCGGCGTCGGGATCGTTGCTATTGCTGTTGCTGCCGCCGCTGCTGCACCTCCCGCCCTTCTCCTCCTCCTCGCCGTCCTCATCCTCCCCCTCCTCCTGCTCCGCGCCGCCCGCGGCCCTGCCCCTCCGCGCCCGCCGTGTCTGACCCGGCCGTGTCTGACAGGTGAGTGCGGGGGCAGCGGGGCGCGGACCCTCCGCCATCTTCGCGGCCGCCCGAGGCGCTGAGGGGGCCCGGGGGTCCGGGCGCGGTCCGGGGGCAGCGGCGGTGCCTCCGCGGCGGTACCTGCGCGGTGCCGCTGCCGCCGCCCAGGCCCGCGGGGCTCCCCCCCGAGCACCCCCTGCCAGCCCGCCCCGCTCCGCTTCAGTTCCGCGTGAAATGGCTCGCACGGTGTTCCTTGAACGCCGAAATAACCAAAAACGAGCCCTTCCTCTTCTGCTCCCGGGTGTCGGGGTGTTTTAGCTCTCCCAGCCCAAGGCTGAAGAGATGGTTCCAGGTCTGCGGACGGTGGAGCCGAGGGTGGTGCTGAGGAGACTCGGCTCGCTAACTTTGTTCGTGTGCTGCTGCATATCCTAAGGACAAGCCCAGCGTAGTGCCTCGTTATCTTATAGATTGAGTTCAGAGCATCTGACACATGTACAGATGGAGTAAAGATGAAACGCCCAAATTCCCTGAAGTGGGGCGCAGCTGAATGAGGAAGGGAAGCACCGTTTGTGGTGGGATGGGGTGGATCTGGCCTCCAGCAGTGGGAGAATGACCTAGCACTGTCCAAGATGGGTAAAAGTTGTCCGTAAAGAGCCATTTTCAGTATTTCTCCCTTTTTCTCAGCTAAGACCTATGAAAACAAGTTTGAGGGAAGCATTGATATGCTTAATGTATTCAAAGCTTGAGTAGATGTTAGGTTCCAGTTCCTTATGCAAAGATGAGGAAAACTTTTTCAAGTTAAGCGTTGATCTGTGATTCAAGGACATATTGGTGTTTTTAAGAAAAGAGAAACTTCTACATGTGTTTTTATCCCTCTTGGTGCATCTTCCAGCTTGTCAAATTTGTTTTGTTTTTGTGGCTTAAAGTGGGCTTTCTGTAACAGTAATTTCGTGGAAGGTTTACGTAAAGAACTGGTGGAACAGCTTCTTTGAAGTGATTCAGTGTCATTGAGTACACCTTGAAATTATACAAATGTCAATTGTTCACGCATTTTACAACATCACAGCAATATTTTCTCCTTAAGCAAATTTCTGAAACTGTTTCCAAGCAAGCCTGCTGTTGGCGCTTCTTGATGGTTTTGAAAACAAGTTGGTAACCCCAAGAACCCACAAGTGTGTTTTCTAATGAGTAGTTTGGCTTAGATAAGATCTTTGTGCGTGGTGTCAACTCTAACCTGTCTGGTAATAACTTTAAATGTAGCTTTATGTATTGTGGACTTGGGCAATTATTTTAAGAAAAGGTGCCTGTACCAAACATTATAATTTAAGGCAGAGGCCACTGTAATGTTGTTTGTTTTTTAATGCCAGTTGTTTATGTGTACGTTTGTCCCTAAATTAGGTTTATCACGTTAAATCTAAAGATTCTAAGATGAGACTGTCTCTTCAATGTAGACAGGCCCTTCCACCATCTATTTCTTAAATTTAGGATTTGTTTAAAGGATGCAGTCTTTAGTATGGACTGAGACACTTAAGTTTATTGGTACAGTCATGAGATAAATACTGTGAGTGTGGTGATAATGTCTTACAAGAAGAGCTTATTTTTATGAAATCCTGAAGTTGCAAGCCAGAACTAGTGCATGCCAGGTAAGGAGTAATTAAGTGATATTGCATTTTATAAGAAGTTCGAGGTGAGATTGGAATCATTTTATGTCATGGAATTTTAAGTCTTGGAGCTAAGACTAGTAGCTTGTCTTGTGAGGTGAAGGCCAGGGTGAGGGGCTTCTTCTGGAGACTACCTTTTCACACCTCTCTGGGGAGAGTTTATTGGTACTCTCTGCCTGACCACTGAGGAATGGATAAGAATAAGGATGGTCTCCTTGCAAGCCAGAGTGATTTGTGTTTTCTCATCCTCGAGTAATACACACAGGCTATTTTTAGGCTGTCTTAGTGTTTCAAGAGGGTAGGACTGGGTACTCACAATGCTGTCACACAGACTGTTGGAAGGTTCTGTAGTTCTCTGTGCTAGGCCATATGAGGTAATGCTTCAAGAATGTGCTGTACGGAGATTATTTGTTGGTGCTTCAGAACAGCTAAATGTGTTATAGTTAAAGTTACTTGGCTTTTGTTGAACTCTTAAACGCTATAAGATTCTAATTTACTGGCAAGTAATATATTCCCAAATGAAGAGCGAAGATATTAGAGGTCACTCTGCCTCAATAAAACTATAATAGCAATTTATTTGGTACATCTCTAATAAGTACATAAATATTGAGTGTTCAGAGACTAGCACAATAAGATTCTGGCCTCTGAATGTAGTGCTGTGGTTCCTTAAATAAATACCTGGTTAAACCACCTTTCCTCTTGAACTTAAGATTCCTCACCCTCAGGTCTTGTATTTGCATACCCGTGTGTGCACGTAGGCTACTTCTAGGCTGTTGGGGATTTGGTAATACAGAAATGGGAGTTGAAATGGCTGTGAAACAGGTAAGGAAACAGAGTAGCCTTCAAACATATTTTAGGATTTAACCAGTAATTTAGCAGGATGTGATGCTGTCTGTTGAACTCTTCAATAAAGTCAGTGAGTCAGTACCTATAAATAAAAAAGGCAGGATATATACTCATAGGTAACTAATTAGTGTTGAATAAGATTATATCATATCCTGTACCATTTAACGTATTTGGAGCAGTGGGCACCCTCAGTGAGCATGGTGGCACAGGTCTCAAAGGGAAGCTTTCAGGACATCAACAATTTCACTAAATAGGTCTTAGTCTGATGATAATTACTGGACTCAGGAAAATTTCTTCTATATTCTAAAAAAAAAAAAAATAAAAAATTATAGTTGTCTAATACTAGTTAATATAAGCTTGTATGGTGAGAGTACCATTTCTTGCTTTAGTTGACTGTATGGCAGGCTAGGTCTGCATTTTGGTGTGATTGCAGCATTTGCTGACATAGTTGAATTAGCAAGATCAAAGCTTGCTAGCAGCAAAACTGGGCTGGCTTACATGTCGATGTTGGTGTTAGAAGCTTGCTTAGGGTAGTTACTAATGTGTTAAAGCTTTTATTGTTGATTTCAGCTGTATAAAGTACTTAAAATTCATTGGTTCAGCTTCTTTATTTTCTGTTGAAAGGAGGTTGTCATCTTCAGTGGTGGATGTTTGCTTTCCCCTTTTACATTTCGAGGAACCTCCAGTTTCATTTGAAAGAATGCTGCACTAAATTTAGAAAAAAAATCAATAACGTAATGCTTGAGTGGATTCCACAAGGTTTGAGTACACTCAGTGGTCCCAGCATCATCTGTGATGATCCGGAATGGTTTTGTTTCCTAAATATTTACCTTTAGCCAAACAACTAGTTTTACAAAGCAGTCTGTTTAGCTTGATTTTTCTCAGGTGTGCTGTATTCTTGGGAATTGCATTGAATTAATGGCACTTGAATGTACAGCATCACTGAAGGAAATTGTTCACTGAAGACCACAAAATGGAAGTTTTACTCCTTTAAATTTGATTTCTTTGCATATTAATAAAGATTGTAGTGGCGTACGTTGATACTTAAATTCCCTTAACTCATGAATAATGCTGTCAAACTGAGTCACATGTAATTAGGAACTTAATAACTGTAATCATTCTCCTCTTTCTCCTTTCCCTCCCCACTTTCTGGAAAAAACCCCAAACCAACCACCATGCCCGATGTTAATGGGCATCTTTGTATCATAAGGTTTTAATGCTGCACTAGACAATAATTACTATTGCAAAAATGCCTTTGTGTTTTATGTAGTAAACAGTGAAATTTTCTTCTAAGCCATGTTTGAAAATGAGAGACATGAGACTAAGAGATTTAAAAGCACACAGATACCATAAAATTGTGGTTGGTTTTTTTTTTTTTTTTAATTTTGACACAATTGTTTAAATAGTAAGTATTACTATTTCTAAACTCTAAACAAAATGGAGTAGGGAGATCTAGGGTAAGATGTTGCTGAAATTTCCTGATGCTTTCCCTTTACAGACTTGTGTGTTGTCTTGAATGAACAAAAAAGGAAATGCAATACTGTGGCAGTTATGTCTGTGCTCTGACACATCTTAAAACATATTTTCTCCCTGGCTTCAGCAACATGCATACCCCAGGAATTCTTTCCTTTCAGCAGTTTGCCTGTTCTGTGCTCAAGAGCAGAAGTAAGCAAGTAGAATTAGTTGATTCCTGCAGTAAATTTTTAAGTCTGGTAAGGCCAGTGTGTGCACTTTTCGTTAGTGCCCTTTCTCTGTTGTAGCTGACTAAAACAGTAATTGGATACACATCTGCTCTTAGCTGTTGTTACTCTGAAGTATTTCCTGTGACTGAATACATGGTAACATCTGTTACAGAAAGGTAGGTGGTGGAACTTTAATTTAACACACTGTAACATATCTTGTGAATTTAATTGAGCAGCATGTTTGAAATACTGAAATATCTTTGCATTCAGCAAGTAGTAATCACCTGTGGTCTAGATGTTTTCCAGGACATCTTTTTCTCCCCTACTTGTGCTGATTGACTTTATCAGAAGGGTTCTCTCCAGACTTTGACAGATCACTGTGTGAGGAACACTATGCAAACGTAGCATTTTCCAAAATGATTGAGCTGAATAGCTCAATATGTCTCATAAGCTCACTTTTTAATAATATAGTACTTGTGAACTGCCACCCTTAATGAATATAGTTTAGCAATACTGAACACTCCCTCCCTCCTCTTTTTATTTCTCAGAAAGTACTTTTGTTCAGCTTTTTATACTCTTGATTGCTAATTTTTAGCTTTTGTGAATTCAGCTTCGTTTGATTCAGGGAAGAAGATTCCAACAATTCTCGATGATTTTTCCATCCTCTTTGTAGTATTACTAAGTAGAAAAGGAAAGTGAATTTAGTGAAATTTTCTTCGCAGGACCCGTTTGGAACACTTAAAAGTCATGATTAACTACATCTGACTAATAATATACAATGAGTTGTTTTGAAGTACTGTTTTCTTATTTTGTTTGACTGAGATTTGGTGCTTAGTCTTGAGCTGATGTTTTCCCTTGCCCCCCTTTCCTGTCCTCTGGCTGTTCTAACTACAAAAGTTTAAAGAAATTGAAAGACTGTGACTGGTTTGTATACTACTGACTGTTTTACTAATCAATATTTAATATGGTTTTCATAGGATATGTAACATGACACTGATATTCTGGACAGGTAATTTTCATTGTTTGAAAACCTTACATAATAAGGGGAATCAGGTAATTGCTAGAAATGAGCACCTTATTTTTTTTTAGCATCATATTGCCAAGGATCTGTTTTGTAAAATCTACTCTTGAAAAACCTCTAGCTTCTGACTGTTACAATTAGAGTCAAAATAGTTCCGAAATTGTCAAAGTGAAGTTAACATTTAAAGGGACACTGTCACTTTTTTTAAACTTACTTTACATCCTGGCTCTAAAAACCCTTAATTACTGCTCCCTTTACCTAAAGTTTGTAAGGCTATTTGGTGGAATTCAGGACTATATTAAAGGTAGTGAAGCTGGTCCCCTTGGTGTCTCCTTGCCATCCTCTGTATGCACATGCTTGTGGCCTCTTTGGTTTCAGCTTTGCTGTGGCTGTGTGCACCCTCCTGCCGAGCCTGGGAACAGCGTGCATGCTTGCTCTCTCCACTACGGTGCATGAGGGATGTGTCGTGCTGGTGCATGAGGAGAGGGCAGTCCCTGGCAGGGACACTGGCTGCAGGTGAAGTGCTGCTACCAAACAGAGACAGTGATGGGGGTGTGTCCTGCCTAAAATGTTCCGTTTGCTCACAAGCTGTGAAAGTAGAAACTGTTGTGTAGTTAATGTGAGAATTTCACTATGTGAAGATGTAATCTTGTGCATTTGACTGTGTCCCTTTAAATTCTGTGTGCTAAAATGTATAGCTGCCAAATCTGTACGTGCTGATGTTGAGTGGCGCAGTTCATTCCTTGAGGGAAGGGACACCACCCGCAGGGACCACGACAGGTTGAGGAGTGGGCTGTGTGAGCGTCATGAAGTTCAACAGGACCAAGAGCAAGGTCCTGCACCTTGGGTTGGGGTAATCCCCAATATCAGTGTAGGCTGGAGGGTGAATGGGTACAGAACAGTCCAGCAGAGAGGGACCTGGGGATACAGGGGCATGAAAAATGGGACATGAGGCAGCAATGTGGGCTTGCAGCCCAGAAAGCCAGTCCTAGGCAGTGGTACAGGAAAGACATGGATCTGTTAGAACTGGTCCAGAGGAGAGCCACAGAAATTACCAGGGGGCTGGAGTACCTTTCCTGTGAAGAAAAGCTAAGAGGGTTGGAGTTTTTTAGCCTGGAAAAGAGGATTTTCTGGGGAGACCTTATTGGAGTCTTTCAATACTTAAAGGGAGCTTCTAAGAAAGATGGAGAGAGACTTGTTACCAGAGCCTGTAGCGATAAAATAAGGGGTGATGGTAAATCTGCTTAAAAGGAGGTAGATTTACATTAAATATAAGGAAGAATTTTTTATGGTGAGTGGTGAAACATGGGCACAGGTTGCCCAGAGGAGGTGGTGGATGCCCCATCCCTGGAAACATTCCAGATCAGGTTGAGCAACCTGATGCCAATGGAGATGTCCCTGCTTATTGCAGAGGAGTTGGACTGCATGGCCTTTAAAGGTCTCTTCCAATCCAAATAATTTTATGATTTTATGAAGCAATCCAGAAAAGGATATTTCTTGGTAAAATCCTTCAAAATGCAGTAGCTTGATAGAGAGGGCAAGTGGCAGCTAACATAGTTAAAACAATGCCTGGTAAGGCATAACTCACATGAAAATCTTTATGTATAATTGCAGTTCAGGAGCCATATCTGGCAGGGATTAGAAATAGGCTATTTTTCCCCCCCAGATCCTAAGTAAAATGCTATTAATGGGTTTATGGGATTATGTATAGTTATGTGTGTGTATAGATATAAAACTCTTAACAAATGTCTATGTGTGCACGCAGAATTTAGTGCTTTAGGCCTTAAAAAGTAATTTTGAACATTGCAGAAAATGATAACTGAAAGCTCTTGAAAAAGAGGTTCCCAAGGCAGATAGGAAGGAGGGTGGAAGAGGGGAGAATATACACGTGTTTGGGATCTGATCCTATTTTGAAAAGAAATAGAAATGTGATGAGCACTGAAAACCTGTTCCTAATTCTTGACCATATGTCCATGAACAGGAAGATACTTAGTGAAGCTCAGAAAATTGGCAGTAAATGTTTATGGGATGAGCTTTTTTAACTTTGGTCCTATCTTTCTACAATAGAGGAGTCTAGCCACAGTGAATAAAGAAATCCAGGCAAATAAGAAACTGCCCGATGATAGTTCTTTCTGTTATTCTTTAATTTGTGAATAAAGCTAATTAGTTACTACTGATTAATCACACATAAAAAACTCTGATGGGATTAGGTGCGGTGGAGAACTGTGCAGAGTCCAGAGGAAAGGAACAAAATCATTTTAGTGCAGTACAGGTCACTGGTGCAACCTGAATTTTATTTTAGATTCACTGTGGAATTAGTGTCAGGTTCCTGTAATTCAGGTGTTCCAAAAGCTAATTAAAATATCAAACTTTTTAATGAGGATGGATGGGCATCAAAACCTTAACTAAATCTAGTCTCATTTTGATATAGATTTCTATATCTTCATACATCTTAATATAAATTTTTATATCTTCATGCATTTTTGTTTTGTGATGTACAACCCAAAGGAGATTTCAAGCTGTTTTTATTCATGGTGCATACTGTCTTTTTAGTAAGGTATGCTTTTCCTTGGCTTTATGATCTGTTAAAAAGCAGAAAATACCATGTCAAAACCCCAAACTGGTTAATGCCTTGTCTTGTTAATAGTGATGTGGTGCTCATTCCTAGCGTGTTGGTGGATCTTAAACTGGAACTGGCCCTGGGTTTGGTTTAAATTTTCTCTGATCAACTTATTTGAAGGGAAGCTCAGTTGCCTTGTTAGCTTTGCCAACTCTGCTCTCCTATTTCTCTGCAGGCTGTTGCACCTATTTTCAGTTGTAATTGTTGTTTCAGAAATCATTTATGCTGGAGAATGAATTTTTATTTTGTTCTCAGTTTGCATGATTGAAAAATTTTGAGTAATCAATCCTAAAACATTTGGAATGTTTAACAACTGGTACCCTATGAAACAAAAATTAATTTCTGTTGAATGTCAGGTTTAAATTAAAAAAAATCCTGTAATTAAATGTTTGTAAAAAATAAGATTTTGACAATAAAGAACATATTCTCCACGTTTATGCAATAAATGAAACATAATTTGATTTTTCTTAAACAGGGGACAGCAGTAGATCATGCATGGTAATATTGTTTGGTGATACTGTCAGATGTTTTTAGGGATAATAAAATGCATATATTTGGCTTTAACAAGGTGACAAAAATGAGCCACATCAACAGCAGCCTGTTAAGTCAGGTGCACTTTCACTGTTCTCGTAAGTTCATGGGCACTTTCACTAGCAAGAAAGTGAAACTGAGAGCTGCCAAAAATGGCAGAAAGTAGTTTTCAGAACTTCCATAATGAATATCAATTTTTGCTTATGAGTAAACAAGGACATCTGTTAAATTCTGTATAGTAACACTTAATGTTGAATAATACATTTTTAACCTGACAGTGTCCCTAAATTACCATGTCTATTTGCTTTCATTTTCCAGCTGGGTTTTAATTTTGCATGCATTTCAGTGAACTCTAGTATGCATATTGATTGTTTCCTGGAAGCATTTTGGGGCTCTCTCTGCTGGTGTTCTCCAAAATGAGCAAGGAAGTGGAATTTTTTTTCCTTTTGTGGAGGTTTGTTAGCTAATGAATAAGCAATGCAGAAGTGATTCCACTGTATTTATGAGTCTGCATATGGTTTTGAACTTAATGTTGTTTGAAGAATAAATGTAAGTAAGAGGGATCTCTTATTTTTGATGACAACCCAAACAACTCAAAAGTTTAGTAGAACTAAATATTTCTATTTTGAGAACAAAAAATTTGAACTGCGGTTGGTTTGGCAGAGCACTTTGTGATGTGTAATGCTTGTCCTTAGTTTATCATAGGAGCCTCTGTGAAGCTGTTTTTTTGAAGTAATGCCAATAGAAAGTGGAAGTTGTGCATCTGCTCGCCAAGCAAAGCAAAAACGTAAATCACACAGTCTTTCCATCCGGAGAACCAACAGTTCTGAGCAGGAACGGGCAGGACTGCAGAGAGACATGTTGGAAGGGCAGGTAAGGTGATGCTGCTTGGGCAACTTTGTAGCTTTAATGTGTGTTTTCTGTGGGGAGAAAATAAACAAACTTGAGTAATTAAATAGGTCCAGTAAAGCTGCAGGAACAGCAGATTTTGTTGATTATAAGTGCTCGCTGCATTCGGAGACCATTGATGTGGATGTTGGTGGTGTTTCAGGTTATGTTGAGATTGAACCTTTTTATGGGCTTGTGTGTATTCTTCCATGAATACATAAAACCATAAAGGAATACAAAGAAACAGCCTGTTTACTTCACTGCAACCTTCTGCACCCCCCCAAAAAAGGTTCAAGATTGTTTCTTGTTTTCCTAAGTTTGAATTTGGAATAATATGAATAAACCAAAATAATTCTTATGGCGACTCTAATAGGAAAAATGTTATTTGGAATGCTGTTCTGCATTCCTTTCCATAAAGCAAACAAACACTGCCTGCTTGCCAGAGGTGTGAGCTAACTCAGATTTTTGTTTGGGTAGGGCTTTTTCTGTATTTATTTTTTATTTGTCTCAAATGAAGGTGTGCTCTTCTGTGTATTAAACTCAGGGGAAAGAACAGCACCCACTACCTTCTGTAGCTTCTCTTAATCACATCAGTTCATGTAGTGGGTGCAGTCTGGACTTGGAATGTTCCACCTAACAATTCTGAGATTAACTCTGGGTAAGGCTTCTGCCGGAAGGGTGTGAAGCAGTGATGGCAAAGATAAGCAAATATCACTTTGAAAACTATTTATCGTCAACTACACAGTGTTAATGTGGGCCTGGCAAAGATGATGCAAAACTCTATTGGAGAGATGGTTTGAAACACTAATAGTGTTTGCTGTGAGAAACCTCACTCTGGAGTCTGCAGATCCTCTGAAGGGAAAATGGGGTGCCTTCAGTGACTTTTTTTAGTTGAATCTATTATTCAGTAAATCATAACATTATTTTTCTGGGAACTAACAGAGCCCAAGTTGTTACTTCCAGTCATCTGGAGATTTGAGAATACAAGTACTTGGATAGAAAACCGTTCATGCATTTGGGACCTATGGCAACCTTAGGAAAGGAATGAATGGCAGCTGAGAGGTCAAGACATGCTGTAGCTTCTGCCTAGTACAGTAAAATTTTAAGCACTTTTAGTGTTTCTTAGCAAGCTCTAAGTGATACATAAATGTTTTAAATGTTTTATCTATCATCTTTAATTTCACTGACCTTGAACAGCCAGTGGCAGATTCTAACAAGTAGAGTATTAATGCCCCTTCACAGTAGAGCTGTGAACTGCATGAGATCTAGCTAAGTGCTTTTGCAGATAAACAGATAACATTATTACATGCTATTTTAATAAGCTAATTTAAATAATGCCAACTTTAAAGAGAATAAAGGAAGTGGATGCATTTGACTATGCTGGTTATTTCATTACAAGTTTAGATTTGCTTATGCTTTAAGACTTGGAGAATAGGATTGAAAACCTTTTCTACATGTCCTTTTTGGTTTCCAAAGTTGTAGGATAAGTTAGTTTCTTTCATAACCTTGATGTATGAAATTATTGGGTTATTGGATTAGAAACAATTCCTCTGACTTCAGTGTTTCTCTTAATAGCATTTCATTTCTTTAGTATTTAAAGAATTTTGTTTCAAGCTGGTTTTAATTTGGATATGCTTTGTATTCTCATTGTCTATAAATGTGTGAACAAAAGTACTCTCTGAAGGGCGAGGCAGATGAAGATGCAGAAAGGAATGACCTGGGGGGGGCATAAGGAGTGTGGTACCACTTCTTTCAGCCCAGTGCCACAGCTTAAACCAGCTGCAAAACTGGTGTAAAACTGAATTGTGCACAAAGCAAGGGTCTTCTGTGCCGTGGCTGTTAGTGGTTTCTGTTCAGAAATAACTTATAAAATTGGGATCACTAAAGGCCTTTCTGGCTGTTCCTGAGGACAATCACCTGGGCTGTGGAGGAAGGTATGGGTGGGATGGAATTCCAGAGGGTCCCTGCTGCTCTCTGGTGCTTGGAATGCGCACGCATTCCAGTTCATTCACACAGGATTGGAGCCAATTCCATTTGCTTTGGAATTGCTGAACATTGAAGAACAAAACACAAGCTATAATCATCCTTGAGCTTGCATTGAATCATGAAGCTCTCTTGAAATTGGGTGGTTTCCTCTGCTAACACTGGTACTCCCATTCTAGTAATGCTTCTAAAGAGTAGTTTGGACTGTGGCAGAAACTGACTCAGTTTTCTTTTTTTGCTCATAACTGATGATTTCAAGAGTTTGAAATGACATACTTTTGCTCTCTAGCAAGTAGATGGGCACATTCCCTGCATATTTGATAGATGGGCATTGCTATATTGATAATATATAATGCCATATTAAATTCACTTTTGAATTCTTTAACTTACTTCCTTACATATGTATTTCTTGGTTTTTGAATACAGCTGTATTATTTACAGGTTTGTCCAGTAAAAAGCCTTTGTCTTACGTAATTTGGAGATAATGGGTTAGATTGCTACAAAGGAGAAGTTGAACTTTTTCACTGTCAGGGTGAGGCTTGTGTCATGGTTTGAGATAGCCCCAAAATCCAATTCCCTAGCTCCATCCCCCCTCCCACATCTCAACCCAATGTGAGATGGGTTTTTCCAGACAAAACACAACCAGACTCAGAATGGGGGAAAGGGAATATATATTACAATGACTGTACAAATAAATACTATAACACATTATAGACACGATCACAACTATCTCTACCATGACATATAGTATTTACAATGGATCAGATCTCTTCTCCCCTCCAAATAAAAGTCCAGGAGGGAAAGAAGGACAGATCCCTTCCAGTCCCTCAGGGCAGCAGCTTCTTCAGAGTAGCAGAAGCAGTCTATCTCTCTCTCTCATGCATGCAGCTGTTGCTGGAATGGAATTGGATTTTGGGGCTATCTCAAACCATGACAGCTTGGTAAAGTGAAAACTTCTTTTCAAAAAAGCTTATAGCTGGGTACCTGGGTAAATAATAAGTGCAGTAAGATAACTTCTGTATTGTGATCTACAGGCAACTGAAGAATAGAACAGGTTTAGTAGAATTTTTTTACATGGTGAGCTCAGATCATCTAAATCCTGTGTTAGTTTTTATTACATACTTGTTTTTTGTACCTTGGAATTGCTGTGCTGTTATGCTGAAAAAAACAAATAAACCCTGTTCTGTGAATGTGCTTCAAAATACTTTCTGTGAAGAAGAGATGCTTGAGTAATATCTGGGGAGGGAAGGATTAGAAATTGCAGTTTTCTTCACACTTGGCTATGGTTAGTGACAAAAGTAGGTAAATGTTAAAAATGCATTTATAAAGTTAGTTTGTCTCAAGCTTTGGTGTGTTGTGTTGACAACTTCCTAACTTCATAGTCAACTTCTGAATTACTTTGCTAATCAAAGGTATTTTTTCTTCTTGAACTGGAAACACCTTGACAGTATATTGAATCTTTTCTTCCACCTTTTATTTTTTTAAATGAAATGTACATATATCTTGGTTTTGTAATTTTTCTCTAGGTAAAAATCCCCCAAACCTATGGGTGATTTGAATTCTGTCCTTTGAAAGAGAAAAAATATGTAAACTGAATAATCCTATGATGCACAGAGCTTTTTGTTTTGTATTTACTCTAGCAGTAGTTCTAATTTCTTGCTGGGATATGGAGAGAACTGTTAAAATCAGTTTAAGACTGAAGAGCAATTTATATAAAATATATGTAAAGAAAATTATAAACCCCAATATTTTGCCTCCTAGGATTCTAAGCTACCATCTTCTGTCCGGAATACACTCCTTGAACTTTTTGGACAAATAGAACGGGAATTTGAAAACCTGTATATTGAAAATTTGGAATGTGAGTATCTATTTTTTCTGACAACTTATGGATTGTTTGGATTTAGTACATAGTAGCACTAATTAAAGCTTTACCTTGCGTATTGTAGTGCAATTAGCGTTGCTTTTCTGTGGGGAGTTTAACAATTGTTTTGAACTTGTAGCTGAAGATGGAGTTTGTACCTTTTCAGAAAAATCACTTTCTTAGTCCTTGGCACAAGCAGAGAGAAATGATGTGTGTCATCCCTCTTCACTCCTGAGCAAAGCCAGCGAAGGGTCTCTCTCCTTGTCATTGTAGGCTCTGGTGGACACCATGTTAACGTGGCAGAAACTCCATTGCCTTTGAAGTTTGTGCCTTTGTTCTATGTTTACAGGTTAATGATGTGATATATTAGTAAATAAAATTGGAAAGGTGACTTGCTGGAAAAAGTGTATACTGGGGTGGGTTTGTATCATCCTGCAAACATTGCATAACCAGCTCCTGCAGCTGTTCATGAGTTTTGAAGTCGAGCACTCAGATAAAAACTCCAGGTGTTATTTGTTTAATGACAATGCAATTGTCTGGTAATGTAGGTGATCCAAGGTGATGTAAGAGGATCCAAAGTTAAGTAACACAAGCCTGTACAGTAATACAGTAAAGCCTCTGCTCAATTTCCCTTGCTGGATTTTGGAAGCTGTGTTGCATAGCTTGGGTTCTGAGTTGTGGAATCTGTCTGATTTGGCTCCAAGTCAATTTTTTTTTCCACACCTAATCTGTTCCCACAGTTAAACCAAACACTTCTGTTAAAAAAAAAAAAGGCCATTCTTGCCTGCTTTTTCAAAATGTGCTGGTTTTTTATTCTCTTAAAACCTGAGATTGTGTTGGTACACAATCAAAAGTACACATTTTTTAGTGACAATCTGCACAACTGAGTTCTCAGCCCCCTGCTGAGAAGTTGCCTGGTAGCAAGAAAAGTAAGGTTTCCTTGCCCAACTTTCAGAAATGCTTGTCAGAAAACAAGTGGTGGATTTGTAGCCCCCAGAGTATGATTATTTTTCTTCTATTCTGTTTCTGTTTCTTCATCTTCTTTCTCTGCCTCACAGTTCTAATTCACTCCTGGCCTTTGTGATCTTTTTATACCCCTCTGACAGTTTCTAAAATTTTCTCTTCTCATATTCAGTCTGTTATTTTTTGTTCTAGTGTTGCAGTTACTGTACAAAGAAAAACTGTACAGTCCCTTTCCCTTAGGGCAGCTTATTTCTATTTTTTTCCTTTTCTTAATCCCTTCCAGACCTCAGTCTTAGTCCTTTCAGGCAATTCTTGTATCTGCCTGCTTGTTTCAGTCATATGTAACTACAAGCCTCCCTCTTTGTTTACTTCTCTTTCACATTTTTTATGGTTCATGAAAGTTTGGATTTATGTGAGTAGGAAGACAGGAAAGAGAATCTTGCCTCGCCTATTTCAAGTACTTGAGTGTGGTATGGAAGTGTAAACTGGCTTTTGTAGTGCTTAGAACTGAGAATTCAGTGAAATTCTCAGAATGGCAAAGAGTCATACTGCTGCTCTGTCACATTCTCCCATGTTTCCAAACCTGGGCGTGAATGACTTCTTTAAAAGAAGTCCAAAGAATTTGTGAAAGACAGGCCTACATTTCTTCTCAGGTGCAGCAAAAAAAAATGCGTCGTTAAAGCCTCTCAGTAAGATTTCACGTGAGGAGAACACTTTAAAGATCAGCCCAGATTTTGAGAAAAAAAAACCTTTAAGCCACTGAAAACGTTCCTATAAAATGAAGTTGAGCAACTTTAAGCCAGCCCAGCCACTGGAGATCCTTTATGAGTATCTGATTTGTTCATGATGCCATCATTCTGTCTGGTGTTAAAATGGCGCCGGTGAGACTGGTAATTGACAGAAAAGTGTAATCTTGTTACATATACATGCTTTGTCTGATGTGCAATGAAAATATTTTAATCTTATTTAGTGTTTCTAAAACAGTTGCACATAAAATGTAGGTGCCATTCTACACCTTTAAAAAATATATTTCAAAGTACAAATAATATACATTTGGTGCACTACCTTTCCTGTGAAACTAATAGTGGACAGGCATTCAGGGGGAATGCTATTTGGTGATGAATAAAACCTTTGTGGAGAAAGGAATACTAATTCTGTGGCTGAAATATTTATGATGCTGCAAGTTTTCTTCTGTTGGATTTAATTCAATACAGATGTGCCATGCGTTTCACAGAAGCTGTTTTGTTAATCCTTAGCCTCATTTATTAGTGAGAGTAATTAGAAGCCACTCATACTTTGCTTGGAATCTGGGTCAAGGTTGATCTCTGGAAAGTTCAGCAGGGGTCTTGGTTTGGCTTGGGGAGACCTGCTTTTATAAAATCGCAGTTGATCTCCTTTCCTTAGCATAAAATAGGTTACTTACTAACCATAACAATTCTTAAATAGTATATTAATGATGTTGTTAATACTCAATTTTTAGTAATAATGTGAATTTTTGGTTCTGTTAGTGCGTAGAGAGATCGATACACTGAATGAGCGTTTAGCAGGTGAAGGACAGACAATTGATGGAGCTGAACTGAGCAAAGGACAGCTGAAAACAAAAGGTAAGAGAGCCACAAAGAATCCTAAACCACTGTTTTTAACTTCACTTTTTGTACTTTGCTGGCCAAAACTTAAAATGTTATTGAAGGGAATTAATGCCATTTACTTAAACAAGCTAATGCTGTATTTGATATATCTGCCTTTGAATTTATTTGTCTCAACAGCCAGTCATAGTACCAGTCAGCTTTCACAGAAATTAAAGACAACTTACAAGGCATCTACTAGCAAGGTATGAGACAAATTAAATCTCTACTCATCAATGTGTACTTGTGAGACTAACGTGACTGTCTTTAAGTTGTAAATTGTGGTTTCTTTAAGCTGAGTAGTGCTGGTCTGTAAGTAAACCTACCTCATAAGGAACCATATCTTTATCTTGGGTTCATTCACACTTGTTACTTCAACCATATTATATGGCATTTTTACAATAATTGCTTGCCTCTTTTCAAGAAGGAATGTTGGAGGGGAGAGAGTGTGCATAGGTGTGCATGTGGGATTACTGTTTTGTAAAGAGAACTAAAATAAATACTTCAGTGAGTGTTGACTGAACAATGCTGTTTCCCAAAATGGACTGTGCTCCAAACTCACTGGGGTAGTGGATCACAACTTTTCTCTTCAGTCCATCCTTTATACTGCTACCGTATAGGGGGTTGGATTGTTTTTGTGTGTGTGTTTTTTTGGATTGGTTGTTTTTTGCCCCGGGGGAAATTAGAAGAGACTTAAGTTTCACAAACCACTTGTTTTGTATAATTATAATTGCACACGATTACGTTTTTCTCATTGCCAACCTATAAAGAGTTTAGGTTTTTTCTACAAAGAACTTTGACTATTTGGTTATTCTTATGAAGGCTGATCCTTGACTACTTTAGTATTGGTAAAAAATATTAGGACTAAACCAATCTGTTCATTTTCTTTGGGAAATGCTGAGGTAAACACTCTTAATTTGAGTCCTTCATGTGAAATTTCCATACTGGAATACTTTTCATCCCTTAGTTAAGAGTCTGAATATTATATTGCCAAAACTCATATCAAAGGATGCTTTTAGCAGCAAGAGTTGTCCAGTAGTGTCCAAATTCTGAAGAGATAGAGTAGAATTAGTGCTTGGTACTCTTAAAAACAATTTTTTTGGTGTATGTTAATGGGCAAGATTCTGTAACTTAACTGCAGTTGTTTGTAGATGCAGGAATCCCTTATGTGAAATTCATATTTTGATGTTAACAAGATGTTATGTTTGTTAACAATCTCTGGCTATGACAGTTGCTAAACATCAGGAAAGCATCAACTGTTTATGCAGAGTCCTAAAATAAACTGAAATGATGTAACTTGCTCCATCTAAACTAAATTCCAGGATCTCTGATTCTTTTTAGATTCTTTCTTCACCCAATAATTGAAAGTAATAAAACTTTTTGGACTATATAGTTTTTGTTGTTACTGCTTAGTGTTGTTCCTCAGGAAATTCCATTCATCAGTCACAGTGTAAGCTGCTGGACTGGTCCTGAGTTAACCAAGTTTTCATTCTTATTTCTAATGTGTCCTGTCTGCATAAGAAACATTTTTACAAAGTGCTTTACTTTGTTTGCCATCAAATTGTTTCAATTTGTATTTAGTTTTCACTTGTTTACATAGTAAACAATTGTTTCCTTGTTAAAAAAATCTCTGTGTAGAAGGAAGCACATGAAACTGTGTGAATTTAAGAAAGAGGACAAAGGTAAAAGACACTCAGGGTATGGTTGCCCACTTATTTTTGTATGATAATCCAAGATCTGCTGGCGTTAGTTAAAAAATTTTCTGCAGTACACAGACCTCTTTTTTAGCAAGTTACATGTTATTTAAATATTTCTTTTCCTGACTTGGAAAATTGTTTATATATGGTTAACAAAGCAGGAAGTAATACAGGCCCTGCCTAGTTTATCCAGTTACTGGTATGTGAAGTGAGGGACGACAAAAACAGAAAGAGAAAAAAAGGTGTAGAAAAAGTATGTGATGAATTAATATGTGTATCAGGATATTTACTGTTGTTTAGTATTCTTGAACTCTTATCTTCTGTGTGTTCATTCAAAACTTCTAGTATTCCAAAAAGAATTTTACGTCCTTGACATTAAATGATCAGTGAAACCCCTGTCCAGTACTTCTGGAAAATCTGTGCTTGTTGATGAGTAGGGGATAGAAAACTTTAGCATGAGGGTTTGACTCCACATTAGAAAGACAGAATGCAAGCATAGTTTGAATGTGGGGTTCAGAGTTGGAAAACTTCAAATTTGGAGTTTGACCTGAATGCTATATTAGTCCTTTACTGTTAATACTTAATTCAGCTGTTCCACTTCTCCTACGTAAGTCCCTTTAGTGTAAGGACTATATTCGATGCGAAAGTTGCATCTGTAGGATTGTTCAAAACTTGTGAAATTCTGCAGTTTCGTTGAACTAATAATCTTTATCATTAACCCATTTTCCTTTTAATGCTTCCTTAATGACTGTTCCTTCTTCTGCTGTGAAACCAGAATGCATATTAGCCGTTAATTTGGAATTCAAATAGGGCATTATCATTTCATCATTGGAGAGCTGACTTGCTCAGGATTTGGAATGCTCTTGCAGATTTTCTTTTAGCTTTAAAAACCTTTTTTGAAGCAATTTGCTCTAATGACATACTTAAGACCTTCTATTTTAATACCAAAACCTAATGGGATTTTAACCTTGGTTTATTGTAACTGAAATGTAGACTTAATTAACTTCCTAACTTTTACTAAGCTGTAGATAAGTCTTAATGTGATTTGTGTTGAAGTATTTAAAGGTTTTGATTTAGCTGGTCAGATAAATACCTGCCCATAATTACATGCACAGGAAAACACTGATAAATGGAAGTTGTCTTTTTGTTCCAGTTTAACAAAGCTTTTCAGGTAGTTTTTCTCAAAGAACAGTTATGAGATTGAAGACTTGTAGGTTAAAAATCGGGTATTTGTAATGGTGTTCTTACTTTTAAGTCATCTTTCATGACTTTTGGTTTCAGTTCTCTTTGGAAGTGTTCCAGTTTGTTGTTTGTTTGTTTGTTTTTTCCCCCTAAGTATTGCATTCCACTTTATCTGAAAATATAGAATTTCTGAAATTTGGTTCCTTTCTGTAGATACTGAGTGTTTTCAGCCTTCCTGTACTGTAGCTCTTTGTAGTTTTACCATTTTACTAGGCTTGTCTTCCTTTCATTTGGTATTACTTATGCACATACTAATTTGGATTTAATGAGTCTTCTCTGCTTTTCTCTTAATAGCTTGTCTTTGAGGAGGGAGTGTGCTTATCAAATGTTTAGATGAGTTTGACATATATTTTTAAAATAAGTTTTATTACACAAATAAACAGGCATATGCTCTCAGGTTAATGTTTGGTTTGATTAGCTTCATGCAGTTTTAAAGAAAAACAGCAGTGAGTTTTTACTGGATTTTACTAGAATTAAGTAATAAGTGTATTTTTTTCCAAAGACATTACACTGGGTAGCATGGACTAAGTTTTAAGGTCCTTTGCAGGGTTTGGTCTTTTTTTTCTTTTTTTTTTTCATTATAGTCCTTGCCCAGACTGAATGGGAAGTGCACTCTGCACTTGTACAATTCATTTCTCCAATGACATTGCATTATTATAGTACAGAATAGTTGGTCTTGCATTCTGAAAAAGGGGGAGTATTATTAAAAATGAAAAAAAAATTAAGGTATATGCTTGCATCCAGGCTCACTCTTCTATCATCAAAGGTGAAATTTTTGACAAAAGTGAACTGTCAGAACATTAAAGAATTATGAAAAAGTTAATATCTACTTGTGTTCGTGAGATAATTACTTTATCTTGGGTCAGTGTGCTAAAAAAATGTTGGTCTCTCTGCTATTTCAGATTGTATCCAGTTTTAAAACTACAACATCAAGGGCAATCTGTCAACTGGTAAAGGAATATGTTGGCCACAGGGATGGTATTTGGGATGTCAGTGTCGCGAAAACTCAGCCAGTGGTGTTGGGAACTGCATCTGCTGGTAAAATTTTATGTTACTCGAATATGTAGAAAAATCTGATTTAGTCCCTAAGCTCTAGCAAATACAGATCCAAAGTATACTTGAATACTGAGCTCCACACTGAAAGAGTCCTTTCAAAAAGTTCTGTAGCTGAAAATTTCTTAAAATTGGAATTTCCTTGAAATGCATTTAACCTGTAGAAAGTTCAAGCCTCCTTGTTATTCTTTCTAGAGCATGTGCCAGCTAACTTCCATGCAGGTCACACTCTCCTTAGTCAGCTCTAGCATGTTGGATGGTGTGAGTGGGTGGGATGGGAGCTGCTCTCTAGTGCAGTACAGAATGCCCTATGGCTGGATACAGAGATCCCTGTAGGCTTTCTATCCTAGTACTGTGTAGCCTTTGTTCTGTAGAAGCTGTAGGTTTGGTCTTAGTTTGCATATTCTTGTATTCTTGCATTCATCTAGCTTTTGCCTCAGGATACAGGGGCAGCTAAAAATCTTAATTTTCAGTCCTTTTTTACTTTACGAGACTCCTTCCTTCCCATTGAGGGGGAACAAGTACTAGTGAATAAGTCACTAAATCTACTATAGTCCAAAAATCTATCTAGAGGCTTGTGTAGTCTTGGAAAATTTTTATGGAAATAAATCATAACTAGATAAAATTGCTCAATTTTGAAGTGACAGTCTTCTGAAGCTGGAACAGGGACTTGAATATTATGGACTAGAAACCTTGGCTTTGTAACTGAACTGTTAGAATTTTTATGTGCCCACCGAGGGGCACGTTTTGTCTTTGTCCTGATTTCACTTGGAAACAGCCATTCTCCAGTTCAGCATTTAAGTACTTCCCACTTGCATACTTGTATTATTTATATATTTTTGGGTGCGGCAGGATAAAGGAGTGGCATTTGGAGTGATTTCCTCTTTAAATAAATTTTTGTAGTGCTCTGCAGTGACCTGTGTGCATTTGGGACTTCCATGCAGGAAGTGAATAGATTGTGCATAGAATTCTTGCTTGTAGTGACTGCCTTTTTTGCCACGGAATGCTTTCTCTGTGCTTCCTGAATCTCATGAGGCACAGGTGGAACATTATACAGAAGTATATAACCAAGTTAGGAAAAATATCAAAAGTAGAATTTGCCTTTCAAAGTAGAATTTGCCTTTCAATACTTTCTGCAAATCAATCTGATTAGGACAACACCTTTATTTTTTGGGGGAGATATGTATTAAGTTATAATGATAAGAACCTTTTATATTTTATATACAGTTGAAGATAACTTGTTTGTTAGCATTAAAAATTAAAAACATACATTTGTAACTATTTACAACTACTTCTTAATCTTTGTAGATCACACTGCTTTGCTGTGGAGCATAGAAACAGGGAAGTGCCTTGTCAAGTACGTAGGGCATGTTGGATCAGGTAAGATAAGGGCATGTTGTGAAAACTGGGAGGGGAAAGTGGGTTTTGGACAACTACAGAAATGCTTATTGTGGTTTCACTTGCAGGTTTGCCAACACCATTAACAAGTCAATTGTGAAGTTCCACTAATTTTCATACAGAGAAGGTTCTGCAATATGATTCTTTCTTGGAGAGGCACATTAAGGCAGTTCTGCAAATGCTAAATGAATAAACAACTCCATATAAAGAAATTTACAGGCGCAGTTACGACACTCAGAAGTTAAATGTCAGGACTCATTGAGGTCTCATGCATATGCAGAACAAGAGAATCTTATGTAACCAGAAATTAATTGTCTTGCAGGATATGTGTCATATTTGGGATACAAAATACAGATGCTGTGTGAATATCTATTTGCACTTCTTTGTTTAACACATAATCCCACGTATAATTTGCTGCATAATATTAAATTGTCATCTTGTTTTGAAGACAGTTAGTTATGTATTGGCATTTGTCTTCCTTTATCCCAGTATGAATATTTCAGAAAATTTTTCTAAACCCCTCTTTGGGTGGAAAGGTGCAGTGCAATGAGTGCTTTTTATGTTAATCTTAAATTTTGGTGTCCAATTTGACAAGCACCCGATTAGCCTTCTTCTCTCTCATAATGGGTTACAATATAGAATTTTATAGACCAAAATTGAAGAGGTTTTCCTTAGCTTTACCTTGCTGTTGAGAACTGAGCACTTTGAGTGGAGAGTCATGCACCCTGAAGATGAGAAATGCAGTTATTGACCAGGAGTGTTTGGTTAAATAGCACATTACATGACCCTTGTGGCAAGGATACAAATAGAATTAAGTTCTCCAGCGAGTGGTCAGTTGCTTCAGCCATGTGTTCTACTTTTTCTTCCTTCTATATGACTTCTAGTTCCTACAGCACAAAGATAGATGCAGATAAACAACTGGCAACACTTTAATTTGTTCAGATATCTCAGGTTGCTTGCTGCATGGATTTTCAGCTTCTATGAAGTCATGTTTAAAAACTTCAATCACTTGCACTGTCATACTGATAGTTTTCTTTTAAAATTGCTATTTGGATAACCATGAAAATAGTAAGTTCTAACCTCTATTTAAATTGTGTTGAAACAAAAAAATTATAAATTATGCTGTATGTAGATTTTATGTAATTACATACATATAAAAATTACATTAGAAATAATATATTTTTCATTTAATAAAACTTTTCTTGTTTGAGAGTTGATTTGAAATGATGCAAAGGTGCCAGCAGTTGATGCACCGTTGATTCGTTCAGTTTAAGAAGTGTCTTCTCAGACTTTTTACACCACACTCTCCCAACAACATAAGCATCTATTTTACTTGTATGATGGATGGAAATAATTTCAGAGTTCTTTCTTGAATTGAATCTTATGCACTGAAATAAAAATGAAGAGCTTTGTAGGTTGATAGAATTCTTGCAGGACTATTTTAAGTCCATCATATTTTGATTACATATGGTTGCAAGACTGAAATCTGATTTGTATTATTTGCGTCAGGTTTTCAGGCATTTATCTTGCAATCCTAAGTAACAATCATATATAATCAGTCATATATAATCAGTTTTCATTAAGTTAGAAATAATTATGAATACTTGAATTCTCTTTATGGAAGTCCAGAGCATTATCTGCTGTCAGCTCACTTATGATTATTTGAATGTGGTTTCTTTATCCTCTCTAACATGAACCATTTGTACTAGATTCAGGAAATCATTTTCTAGAAAATATATATTGTTATATAATCAACTATAGCTGCTCTCTTTGATGCTACACCTTTATCTCACCTAAATTATTGCTATAAAAATTACTCAAGACTGAAGGCGACTTGATTTTTCAATGCTTTTAAAACAAAACATTGTGAAAGAATTCTTTTTGTATGCTAACTTAAAAATTTACTTTGTTTCACACAGTAAACTCCATAAAGTTTCATCCCACTGAGCAAGTGGCTCTTACAGGTATGTAAAATTTTTTCATTTGCTGATTATTTTAATTATTGTAGAAAATAAGTGTGATTTGCCAGCATCTGTGTAGGTGGGAGCATTGGGCAATGGTTAATGGGATGAAATTTAACAAGTTCAAATGCTGGATTCTGCACCTATGACAGAGTAATGTTGAGCACACATATAAATTGGGACAGGAGTGGCTGGAGAGCAGCCCTGCAGAAAGGGCTCTGGAGGTGCTTGACAGCAGGCTTGTTGTGCCTGCAGTGTGCCTGGGCAGCCCAGAGGGCAAACCTCATCCTGGGATGCATCAAACACAGCACAAGCAGGTGGACAAAAGAGGTGCTTGTCCTGCTGTATTCAGTGTTGGTGCGGCCTCTCCTGGAGAACTGTGTGCAGTTCTGGGCCCCACAATGTAAGAAGGATGTGAAGGTCCTTGAATACATCCAGAGGAGACCAGCAAAGCTGGTGAAAGGGCTGGAAGGCATGTCCTGTGAGGAACAGCTAAGGACTTTGGGTTTGTCTCTTTTGGAGAAAAGGAGCCTGAGCAGCAACCTCGTTGCTCTCTACAGCTCCCCGAGGAGGGGAATTGGAAATGGAGACGCTGACCTCTTCTCCCTGGGATCCAGTGATGGGATGCACAGGAATGGTTCAAGGCTGTGCTGGGGAGGGTTAGACTGGACATTAGGAAGGATTTCTTTACCAAGAGGGTGGCCAAGCACTGAAACAGGTTTTCTAGAGAGGCTGTCAGTTGGACAATGCCCTTAACAACATTCTTTAACTTTTGGTCAGGTCTGAAGTGGTCAGGGAGTTGGACTGGTTGATGGTTTTATGTCTCTTCCAACTGAAATAATCTCTTCCATCTATCTGTATCCATACATGATATTCCCAGAAGTAAAGGAAAAGAATATTGTGCTACTGAGTGTGCAGAAAAAGCAGTGTGAAAACATGATTGTTAGTGTAAAGGTGTTTTCAGGCCTGAGTGTACCATCAGTGCAGCTTCAGGTTTGAAAACTCTCTGGTGTGCCTAATACTGTGGTTCATATAGTTCAACAATTAGGCCACTAGCTTTGAAATGAAAGGTCTGGATTGAATTTGCTGCTACTAGGTAAGTCATTGTAAAATGAGGATAATTATTACTGGGATTAGAAATGAAAACACTTCTGCTTTCTGCATCTGCACTGATCACTTAAAAGGAAGGTAGGGAGCATCCGACCTTTTAGCTAGGCTAATGATTTAAGTTTATTTGGATTTTCCTGTTTTCATTTGCTAACCTTAGCCCTTGTTTCAGTACCATAAGCAATGTTGCTATGTAAACTGACTTGTGAAAACCAAACTAAACAAACAAAAGTTGCCTGTAGATAGATTTTTTGTTCTTCCATTATTTTTTGAGAGATGGTTCTGCAAAGCATTTCAGTTGCAAGTTTTCAGGTGTCTTGTTCTTCAGTGACAATTGATTTTATAACTGATTAAAATAAACTTTCCCCCTAATCCAGAATAGTGACATCAGACATAATGTAAGGTTGACCTTTCTTCTAGCCTTCTAGATGAGTTATTTTTCTTAGTGCTTTCATGTACATTGCACTTGCCTGAGCTTTGCGTGCTCATTACAAACTGTTTTTCTCAATCTAGAACACTCAGCACTGTACTCCCAGGTATTAGAACTTGTTTGTTCTGTCCATAATAAGGAAAATCTTGAGTTTCTCCTTAGTAAATGGGTAAGTCTTTTTCAAAACCTGAGCTGTGATCTGGTGTTAGTTAAGCTGAGCTTTTCAAGGCAGAAGCAGAATAGCTTCACACTTGCTCTTTAGGTTTCTCATTAAAACCCTGCTAAAAACATCTAATGGAAGAAATAATTGAATGAAGAACCCCAATATTTTGAGAAATGGCAAAAGAAGAATGGCACCTGTGATGTATTAAATACCTTCTTCAAATATTACATATTGGAATAACGCAGATACTCGTCTTCTGATGTGTGGTATTCAAGTGGGTGTTTCACTGTAGGAGTGATTAATTTGGTACCTATTTATATTTTGCAAAATGAATTATGTTCTTAATCAGTATTGAAGCCAGGAGAGTAACTGTTGATGTTGAGACTTGCTTACCATAAAGTTTACAATGGTATCTGTTAAAAAAAGATGGAACTCAGATAGTATTGCCAAATGTAACTTTAAAGGTTGTTTTTATTGCCCATGGAAATGCTCTTATTTATTCTCTCTCTCTTTTTTACCTCTCTTCCCCCTGTGCAGCATCTGGAGACCAGACAGCTCACATCTGGAGATACATAGTACAGTTGCCTACACCTCAGCCAACTGCAGACTGCAATGTAAGCAATCAACTTACTGCAACTAAGCTAATTGCACAGCAGTTTCATCAGATACAGCTTTTGTGATAAGACTGAATGTTAAATTTACATATAATTAAAAAATTACATGATTTGAGGATTGCCAAAGGTGGGATTTTAAGGTTTTAATTTAACAGCTATATTTCAGCCTTTCTTTGAAAATAGACTTGCTTCACGTTTTCAAAGGTGTGTGGTGCAGAATAGAATTGGCAGCTGCAAGTGCATTAATTGACTTTATTTTCAAGGTAGTAAATGTGTAAGTAAATGAAGATGAGTAATTTTTTTGGGTAATAATTCAAAATATAAATAATGAAGTTCTTTTTAAAGTAGTTAAATTCTTGTAGCTTTACTTACTGAGGCACCTGTATTAGCTGTATTGAAGACAAACACAGGTTATAGCATGAGCTTCTCAGTAAGCTAAACAGGGGCAAAGAGATGGCTGTATCATATGAGACAAATTTCTGAATGGAAAATATTTGATTCAGTTTATTTGATTTGGCATTTCCCATTTTGAAAGAACAGTACAAATGTTATCTTTTTCACATCCATGTAACATAAAAGAAAAATGGTTTTGTCTTGTGTAAGTGAAAAAGAGGTTCAGAGACTGATGTTTCATGGTTGACAAAAGAATTTATTTTGCATCCAGTTTACATCAGCACTGCATGATGACTATGTATTGACCAACAAATATTGATGTAATGATTTGATTTTAATGGATGAAAATATGTCTGTAAATGACTGTCTTCCTGAAAATTAAAGTAGTCAGTGTCCTGTTAGATGCTTCCTATCCTTAAAAATTGAAAGCAAAAAAGTCCCTTGGTAAATATACTGCAATGAAATTCTACGGTAATACAGTAAGGGAATATGAAGAAACCTTACCAGATAGTAAAGGGGACAGATACTCAGAGCTAAAGAGTTCAGAGGAGATTTTAAAATGAAGTAGAATTGTAGATTCATTTAGATTGGGAAATAAAACCCTCCTGAGATCATCAAGTCTAGCTGTTGATCTGGCATTGCCAAGTCCACCACTAAACCATGTCCTTAAATGACACATCTACACGTCTTTTAAACACCTTCAGGGATGGTTACTCCACTCCAGCTTCCCTGAGCTACCTTGTCCTGTGCTTGACAACCTTTTGGTGAAGAAATTTTCCCAACAGCCAATCTAAACCTCCCCTTGGTGCATTTCCTTTTGTTCTGTTGCTTGTTACTTGGGAGAAGAGGCTGACTCCCACCTTGCTCCAACCTCCTTTCAGGTGGCTGTAGAGAGCAATAAGGTCTCCCTTAAACCTCCTTTCCTGCAGCCTGAACAACCTATTTCCCTCAGCTGCTCCTCATGAAATTGTTAACGGAGTTATTAAAACTGCAATTAACTCACTGCTTATATTCCTTCAACTAATTTTGTGACAGTGAGTACCTGAGTAGGCCAGGTGCTGCAGAATTAAGTTACACACATTCTCATTGAGGGGATTGGGAAGCATTTACGCTGCAAAATGTAACTTTGAGACATTCCTTCCCTTCTGTAGTAAATCTTTTTTTCTCTTGTATTTTATAGCAAGTGACTGGAGAAGACGAAGTTGAGTTCTCAGATAAAGATGAACCTGATGGAGATGGGGATGGTTCCAGTGATTGTCCCACTGTCAGAGTGCCATTAACTTCCCTGAAAAGCCACCAAGGAGTGGTCATAGCAGCTGACTGGCTGGTTGGGGGGAAGCAGGCTGTGACAGCATCGTGGGATAGGACAGCAAATCTGTATGATGTAGAGACTTCTGAACTTGTCCATTCTCTTACAGGTATTTGTTCACTCACAAAAAATTAAATGGGTAGTTTGTTTTTATACGTGGGATTATTTGTAGATACGAAAACATTGGGAAAGTAATTTGTTTCTCTGGACCACAACACAAATGTGTACAAGACTGAAGCTGCTGCTCATTGCTGTAGTAGTTTCTCACGTTACCACCTTGTAAATCCCGAGCATGGATTTGTCTTCTCTTTAAGCTTGCGATTTAACCAATGAGAGTAGGTGTTTTTAAACTGAATGTACCCAAATTCTAGGTCTTGCAAAATGCTTTTGCTGTGTTCAGGGCGTATAAAGCAGCAATAAACTGCACTACTTGGTGTGAAATGAGTAGTGTGTTTTTTCCTTTGAATAGAGTCCCAAACTTTTACACCGGTAGTCAGAATGATCAGTATTCTTCTCAGTTTGGGGAAAAAAAGAAAAAAAGTCATCAGCATTTCGTTCCAAGTGTGTGTGGAAATGAAAAGTCTTATTTTCATTGCCTTACACGTTCTCATCTGTGGTTGTAGGGCACGACCAGGAGCTCACGCATTGTTGTACCCATCCCACCCAGCGCCTTGTGGTGACATCATCACGCGATACAACCTTCCGTCTGTGGGATTTCAGAGATCCTTCTATCCATTCCGTGAATGTCTTTCAGGGCCACACAGAGTAAGTGACAGCTCCTGCACAGGTTTTTGCAAGTTCCAAAAGTATAAATGTAGTTGCTAATCTGAAAGAAACTGTTCCAGTGCTTTTTTTGAGGTATTTAAGTTCATTCCTGTTCTGCGAGACTGATTCTCACAGAAACCTCTAACTGTCCTCCTTCAGATGTTACACAGCAGTACTTAATTTCCCAAATAGCAGCCAGGGCTCTTGGTGTGATATTGCTTTTGTGGTTAAGTCTCCATAAAAGTTGTTAATAATTAAAGGTGATTTAAGGTATGAGCTTGTTTTTGGCATTGGTTATGCCTGTAGTTTGGGGTTATTGCTGTGATGCAGTGGATCAAGCAGATTGCCTCTGCTGGCCATGATACTCAGTGTGAAATACAGGTTACTTTTTTGGAACCAGTGGACCAAAAAGCAGGATTAATTTTTACCCTTTAAAGCTTCTAATTTTTACATAAAATGGGAAATTAAAGTAAGGGCACTGATTGCTGTGTTCTGTCAAAACAGTGATTTTGATGCAACATTTTTAGTTACCAGTTTAGGCTTAATGTTATTATATTGACTACTGTTGAAGAGGGACAAATGTAGTCCTGAGAATCTGTTACAGTGTTGACTTAACTTTTTGTTTATCTCAGCTTTGATACATGGAAAATACAGGAGTAACTTGGAAATACTTTACCCAAGGAAGCAAATCTTTTTTTAAGACTTCAGAACTTTTAAGCTTGACTGTATCAGAAAAAATTTCACCTCCTTTCTTCAGAATAAAAGATGATTGTTAATCCTAGCTCAAAACAAAACACACAAATATTTATTCACATTTTTGGTTTTTGTTAATTCAAATGTGTAATTTGCATTATGACTGAGTTTCGGTATCCACTTCTTCATTTCCTCAGCTATTGGCTAACCTATATATAAAGTAAAACCTCTTTAACCCTCCCTGCCCCAGACTCCTCATCTTGATAAATTATTTGGTGCATCACAATCATCCCATGTAAGTAGACATCGTCTCCTTATAGAATAATAACCTTGATTTTGTGGCCTGCACAAAATTGTTTCATGCCATGACTTTTGTACTCTTCTGTCACTTTTTCTAGAATGACTTGTAAAACTTGGAAGGTTTTGTATCCAATTGGTGCTTGCATTTTTTTCTGAGCTAATTAACTTCTTCATTCCAGGACATTTTTTCAGAGAAAGGATCAAGATTGACATTCATGTTTTTTCCGTATGTTTGCTGAGGCCAAATGATGTTGATCTGGGCTGATGGTGCAGACTGTAAAAGCTGTTAGCTGGTGTTTTGGCCTCCATTGCTGAGACCTACAAGCTAGCAGGGTGTTTATTTTTTATGAATGGAATAGACCTCTTCAGTCACTCTTATTCCAGCTTTTAATCATCTTCATATTTGTGTTTGTTGCATCACCTGTCTCCATTTTGTTCTTTGAATGTATGAGTTATTAGTATTGACATAGGCTTTTCCACTAAATACACCCTAAATTTAAGGGTCTCAAAACTGACTTTACCATTCAGTGGCTAAGGCTGCTGATGTCTCTGTTCTCTTGAGTAGGTGATTCTGTTAGGGAGGTGAGTGTTTCACTGAGGAGTGCAGGCAGAGCAGAGATGGGGGGTGGTATTTGGCAGTTGAGACATGCTTTGAGGGATTTTATTTTTGGACATTAACTGTACTGCCTTGTGGGAGAATATTTTCAAATTACTCTCTAATCAATGCTATAACAATCTCCTCACGTTAAGCAGCACAGAAGAAACTGTTTTATCTATTGACTAGAAAATGCATACACACAAGACTTTTTTTTTTTGGCTTTCCTGAGTGTCTCTTTGAACAATTTGCCAAGCTTTTAATATTTCGATAGGCCCTTGGCATCAGTTCTGTAAATTGGATGTTACAGTCATTAACACTGATGATTTAAAGTCCTCAACCATCAGTTTTAACAGCCTCTGGCTGAGCAGCACCTGACGATTTGCTCATAGAGCAGCTCTTTTTTCCCTGTGTATTTCACCAGATCAACTCTTAATACGTTAAACCAATATAATTAGATGCCAAACATCTCAATCGTGAGGCCAACATACCGTGTTTTTTGTATACTACAACACAAAATCTTATTCCATCCGAAATTCCTTCTCACTGCGGCTGCACAGCGCGCCGTGGCCGGCAGGTGTCAGCACTGTTACACTGTGTGAGGGTCCGCGGGCTGAAGAATTTGGGGAAGGGTGAAATTCCAACTTCCTTTTATTTACCTTAATGTGTTAAAGTGAAGATTTATTCAAAATGGCTCATTATCGTCTTAAAATTATAAGTGATGCTGATCTGTTTAGAGAAAAAGGAATCATGTTACATGCAGAGTATGATTTTATAAAGTAAATTGACATCAGAAAATGAAAAGAGTTGTTGTGCTTTGTCATGTACTATAATGTTCTATCAATGGCAGTGTATGTTTTTTATCTATAAGTGATTATTTGTATCTTAAGTGGACTAAGGAATCACCTACTATTTTGGTGTCCTGAGCATATAGCTTCTTTATTAGAAGCAGAATGTTCCTTATTGCCTACTACTGTGATTTATTTAAGAAAATAAATTCTCTTCCAGTAAGGCCAAAAGGAATCATTGTGATTGACACATCTGTCTTGAGCTTCTTGCGTTGATAACTGTTTGGAATTAGGAGGCAATTTTGGGAGAATTGCCAACTGTATGTGAAGTTATTTCAGTGACAAAGATTCCAGCTTATTTCTTGGTAAATTCTGTACGTTGCTTATTACAGTGTTTAATTACCTTCCCTGTTAAACTTTTTCGCCTCCCTAGTCCGAGTTTGTCTAGCTTCACTTTCTGTCTTCTGATTTTTATCTTGAAGAGCTTTGTTTCCTTTATTTTCTTTTGTACATATTACCAGTTCTTATATACAAGTTACCTATTTTGCCTTAAAGTGTGTTTTTGCATATATTTTGACATTTATAGACCAGTATAATACATTGACAGTACATTTGCACTTCAAGCCTACATTCAGCTGAGTCTTTGAAGTATATTAAGGTCTTTTTCGAAGTTACATCTTCCTATGGAAGTTTCCAGATCTGTTCACATTTTTCATATATAGGACTGTTTCAGTTCAGTACATGACTTCCTTGCCTGTGCCTTGCTCACATAGTTATAAAAATACCTTGTCACATTTTGTTTTACATTTGCCATGTTCATCTCATGTTATTCTCTACTGATTAAAAAAATAATGAAATGGTATGGCAATAAGAGTGATGTTTGTGTAAATATAAATCTTTGTTATTGTCTGTTTTTGTCTGTTTTTGTGTGTGCAGCAATAGCAATTTGTATTACTAGTCACATCCCTCAACGAGGAGTTTAATAGAGCCCTGGGAAAAGGTTACATCTGTGTTATAATCCACACACTAACTTGTTGCATGCTAATTAAATTGATGTCCTGAGTTAAAGCCTCCAAGAGTTATACTGGGGACTCAAATTCCAGTACATTTTTTCCAGCACATTCTACTTTGAAATACATGTTTGCTAATCAGAGAATCATAGAATCAGCCAGGTTGGAAAAGACCTCTGAGATCATCAAGTCCAACTCTTGGTCCACTACTGCTGTGGTTACCAGACCATGGCACTAAGTGCCACATCCAGTCTCATCTTAAAAACCTCCAGGGACAGAGAATACACCACTTCCCTGGACAGCCCATTCCAATGCCTGATTACCCTCTCTGTAAAGAATTTCTTCCTAATATCCAACTTAAACCTCCCCTGGCACAGCTTAAGACCATGCCCTCTTGTCTTACTGATGCTGCCTGGGAGAAGAGACCAACCCCCACCTGGCTACAACCTCCTTTCAGGGAGTTGTAGTGAGTGATGTCTCCCCTGAGCCCCCTCTTCTTCAGACTAAACAACCCCAGCACCAGCTGTTCTCCTACTGAGAAATTTTTGAATTTAGTGGTTATTGATTAGAACTCTTCAAACTGAACTAAGGTTTTGTTCTGAAGAGCAAAATGGTTCTGGCATCTACCTGGCAATTTTCGTTCCAGCTTCATTTTTGTTTTTGTTTGCCAATGCCTGCATAGCTGTGTCTTGTTGGGGCTGTGAAGGCCTTTTTTTTTCCCAGCACAGTGACCTAGTTGAATGACCAGTGTTGACATGCTCTTGCATATGTGTTTGATGAGGATTTTTTTGTCCCTTTAAGTACTCTGCATGCGCTTGATGTGTGGAACCTTCTAAAATGTTCATGTTGGAAATCTTTACTATTTGTAGCTTAAAAAAAACCCCTTAATCTGTACAGGTCTAGTCAAGTACTTTACAGATTTTATTTACTTGCTCTGTCAATTCAGTAACACTGGAAATAAACTGGCAACAGAATGCTTATTAGCTAGTGGATTTATATACAACTTTTAAACTGAACAGTCCTTTTGCTGTATATTTGTAGTATACTGATGCTTATATGCAGCTGATGAATTACTTGGTAAATAATAAAGGGTTTTGTTTTGCTTAGTGACCATCAAAGGTTCACAGTGGTTGGGGACATCTCTCTTGAAATGCTTGAATAAAAATTTGCAGGGCTTCCAAGTCTGGACTTGCAAATACCATCCTTCAAAGAATAAAATGATGTCTTAAGAAGCAGCTTTGGGTTGCTATCCTAAAGTGAATATCCTTTGTTAATGCTTCTTGATTGTTCAGTGTATAGCAATGCACCACCTTGTCTGGGCAATTAAATGCATTTTTGGCTTAAAAAGAAATAAAAATTTGACTGGGTACTTTTGACCTAGCCTGAAAAAAATTACAAAGTTTGTTTACTGCCCTTCAAACTTACTGATCTTTGTGGCTAGATTGAACCAGTGCATCAAGAGTGAATGTGTGTTAGTTGTGGAATCTGTATCTTTGTGTTATTTTCTAGAAAACTCAGGGAAAAATTGCTTAAAAAAATCTTACGCTATTTCTTCCAAAGAGCTGAGCAAGCTGGCTTATAGCTCTTTTGGACTAAGGCATATTCCTTCTCCTT